GAGTGCTAGTCACGCCCACAGCCCCGAGTATGTACTGTGTTTTCTTGAGTTTTTTTCTGTTTTTTTTTTTGCTGCTTAATTTATGTGTTAACTACACAATAAACGTGGTTTGTTGACTCAGGTCCAGTTTTTGCTAATTGTCCTGAGTGGCTTGTCGTTATACAGCCATGCTGCAGGTTCTACAGACTGCACCAAATTGCGTTTTCTGCAGCCACGTCTTTTTGGAGGATAAACACCAACGGGTAGATTATTAGCAATCAAAAACGTCGCAGACTTACTAGCCGCCGACGCTCGAAATGTGCGTCCGCAGCCTTGAAGTGTGCCAACGACCACTTCGATGTGAATGTTCGATGTAGCAGTTGCGAAAATCTGACGATCTACACCAGCCGACCAAACCGATAGCGGTAATCGTCCACAGTGATCACCAAAACGTATTGAACATACCTACCGCGAGCGCTGCATTACAGCCTGTACCGCACCGTGCCGATATTGGCCGGGGTTTCCGTAGCGGCCTTTATTAGAGCGCGCAGCGAATTGCACTCCATTCTTGAAACTGCACAATCCGTCAACGTCTGAAGCCACATGACATCAACCCTACCTCGATGACCGAAGCCTGGCTTCGACAATCGGCTCCCAAACCTGGTTTCGATCATCGGCGCCCAACAAATTTGTGCATTACACGGTCGGGTTTAGCCGTTTTTCATGCTCAGTCCCCAAGCATATTTTGCGAAACTGCACCCCTGGGGTGGATCTTCATGACCAAGGCACGCAGTGGATTCGCCACCACATGACTTCAGCGCCCAGAGCACAGCACAGCTGTGGAAATTGGAAAGTGGCAAGCGGTTGGGCCAAGTTGCAGTTGAATCAAAATCGATGGAAGAAGATTGGCAGCTGACAGGAACCGCGTGACGACAACACGGTTGTCAAGGTTTTCGACCATATTTAGCCAAAATCATTAAGTGGGCCGGGCTCTCGCATTGAACATTGTTCACAACTGAAACGCACAACAAAGCAAGTAGATATCGACAAATCTTGACATTTCGAAGTGAGGCGGTGTTGTTTTTTGCACATAAATCCGAAAATTATGTTTTCGATACACCAATTAATTTATTGTTTAAATTCCAAAACCCCGCAAGATATGTCTTGCAGAAAATAGGCCTAGACCAATAGACAACACACGTATTGACAATATTATATTTCATAGAGAGAGTGGACCAACAGAAGCTTTCAAGTGTGTATCTGTATTTCTTATGACCACTTCGGAAGCGCGGTGGGTTAACGCAAGTACCGATCTTTGTGAGAGGTCATCGTTTCAAGCCTGACTTTAGCAGGGTTTTCCCCGGCTGGCTCCCTCCCAGGCGATGACAGTAATTGGGGAGGGATCACCCTGCCCCAGGATTAACGTTGCGCCCACCAGCGCCCGCAGCGGTTGGGTCGCGGGTATAGTTTGACCTTAGGTAGATACTTCGGCATGATGGCTTATTTTGAGGGCACAAAATTTCTCTGAGTGGTCTGAGCAGTCGCCTGACCTGTGGGTCCGTTAAATCAACATAGGCCTCTGTATGCCCACGTGCTACGGGGGACACCCTGTTAACAGGCGTGGAGATAAAACCGTTCCTCAAGGGTGCCGAAAATGAAGCCTACGTCTTGTGCACTGTACAGTGTATGCGGTCAGCGCTGGCCATGGTTGACCCCATCGGTAGCTTGCTGCCCGAGGACAGCAAAGCATCGCGTGCGTCAATTATCGTCGAACACGCTATCAGGTGTCGGATACCTTTTTCCCGTACCGAGACTGTGTCCGCACCGACGATTTTGTTACCAAGCGAACATGAGTCATCGCTGGACATGGTTGTCACCAACCCTCCGAACCATATCCAACACACGGAGATCGTGCCTAGTCACCGCAGCGACATTCACTTGAACACTTCTTCCCTGAACAAAAACGCAACAGAGCAGCCGGACAGTGAAAGAAAGAAATAACATGCATAACTATCGCCGAAGGAGCGCTGATATGCCTCTACAGAAGCCAGCCGCGGCCGCTTGGAGCGCAGTTCTCACGTCTTTTCCAGCCAAAGAACAGCGGTATGCGTTCCTGACTATCGCCAAACCGTTGCTTGGCATGTTTGGCCCAAAGCGCGAAGTCCCAGTTGAAAAACCGACAGCTCTCGATGTCGGACGAGATTAAGGAGCTCATGACACAGCGCTGTGCCCTTCGTCATACCGACGCCATGCACAGGCAACTGGATCGCCGGGAGCCTGCAGCCAGCCGAAGCGACCATCGCGAAGACCGACATCCAATCTCGTGCGGAGACGGCGACGCCCGGGAGCGAGCGCCACGTTATCCACAGTAGCGCAGATGCCGGGGGACGTTCACCAGCAAAGCTCTAGATGAGCTGGTCGGCCAGGCCGACGAATTTGCCGCTTACATCAGGAGGAAAACATCCGATAAGGTATTGACAGTGACTCCAGTGCGTAAAAGAGACTTCCCGGCGACACCAATGGACGCCAGCTCCCTTGCCTACGTTTTTATATCATTTGCTATGCCAGCGTCAGTGTACATAACTAACAGTAGTTTTGCCTCTGAGATGTTGCCATGGAAGCGGGAGATATCACTTGTAGGGCGATTGTCAGATCTGGTTACATCAGGCAACTTCTGATCTCTCATCTCTCTTCTCATCTAAGGCCAATCTCTCTCATTGCCATAATGCCCATGCTTAAAAGAGAAGTTGGTCTGCGCGCAGGTTATGACGAATTTCACCTCATATATATTGATCCCTAGGGACTTGACGCCCGAGGATACGCCGAGGGTCTCTCTCTCTCTCTCTCTCTCTCTCTCTCTCTCTCTCTCTCTCTCTCTCTCTCTCTCTCTCTCTCTCTCTCTCTCTCTCTCTCTCTCTCTCTCTCTCTCTCTCTCTCTCTCTCTCTCTCTCTCTCTCTCTCTCTCTCTCTCTCTCTCTCTCGCTCTCCTCTCTCTCTCTCTCTCTCTCTCTCTCTGACTGAATCGGATCTCAGTTTTGCAAGCCGTGTGAGTCAGGAGTCAAATGACTCAGCACAAGCAATGAGTCTGAACTGAGTCGATTTAAGAAATTGGGAGGGCTATGCATCGTGAATGGAATCGGATCTCAAAAGATGCGTCAGTCCTGAGCCGACTCAAAACATCCGAGTCGAACACAAGTCTGCTCAGGACACCATAACACTCCTGCTGACGACGACCGGGATTTAACAGGTCGAAGCGCTGTGTAACTAACACACCACACGAGGACGACGGACTGGACAAGCGTTCTGGCCAATGTTTCGTCCAACTGATATGCTAATCCCCAACTAATGCTTCGTCTCAATCGTTTCGGAAACCGATGGTAGCTAAGATTGGTACACTAGGAACAATGCAATTTATACACTTATCTATCATATCGACGCACAACAAGTTGAGCTTCGTCACGACCAGCCACAGCGCGGCCGCTCTGCCTGGCGCCGGCTCTCGCCTTCGCCCCTCCCCTCCCCCCCCCCCCTGGCGCAGCCTGACCCGTCACACCACTCGTACACCACCGATAATTGTCGCTAACCCCCACACCGCGGCCGGCCGGGACGACTGGTGCACGCCACGTACCATCACTTCTACAATGTGTCAGAGCTTGTTTTAGGTTAATCTGACTGCTTTGCTCGCCATGAATGCCCGCCATGAATCAGAAGTTTCGCCGCTCAATTTGCGATTACGAATTTGGGGATTATTGACGTAAATATTTTGCATCGTCATCGAGCCAAGCTGAGTGATTGACATCATAGGTTAAAGATTAAAACATGATTTTCAATGAAAATTTTGTATGAGTTATATTCTTACCTGCACTGCGATCGCCTATTAAATTATACAGCTTTAGCTGGCTGCCGGCCAAAAGCTCAGTAGAGCTTCGCTAAAATATAATTGTCATGAAATTGAAACAAATGTGTGTTGTTTTGGGTACAAGCGGATGTCAGGATTTTCAGTTAATGTCAAAACTACGGCAGGCGTTTCAAAACACGTCCATTTGCACGGGAAGCTGCCCATTCCTATGCCTTCTCTACTCTCCATCCTCGATGCTGCTGAGTCGTTCGAAGCTTCTACCTAGAGGATGGAAGAGCATCCAACTCTAACAAATGTATGGCACCCTCTGTACGGTTGCCATGGGAGCAAAGATACAGTGATCGGCGTTAATGTTTTCTTCGAACAAGATGACGTCAGTGATGTCTGGCCTAGTGCACAAAACCACGTGTCATTTCGAAGCAGCGAGGGAGTGATGGTTAAGAGTAAAACAAGTCTAGTGTTATTGTTAGGTAGCTTGCGAGATATCTATTTGGTGTTTAAGGTGGATATACCTGATCCTCGTGTAGGTTTCTCCACGTTTGCGAAAGTACGTCCCAGAAACTACTTGCTAGCGGGAAGAAGTGGAACCCGCTGTGTGAGCGTTTGCACGAATTACCGCAACCCTGAGGTGCGGCTGGCTGCACTTGGGGAAAAGGGTGTGGCGTACGAATATATCATGCGACGCACTGTGACACTACGGCCAGGGATCGTATCATGGACGAGTGTGAGAGACATCCAGGTGAGCGAGGGGTCCGTGCGTACCGCGAACTCCGGATAATGTTTATACCGCTCCCCATGAGGTTCGCTCTAAGCAGCGGGTCTCAACTGACCGACGCACCATAGTAACCATAGCAACCAAATCTGAGCCGCTGGACGAACATCTCACCTCGCTGGGCCGTCATTACAGGCTCTCTGACCTGCCATCACTGAAGCTGACAGTCAACGTGCTTACTTCAAGACATTTCAGAAGCCATTACGTGGGGATGGAGCGGTGCTGGTTGCAGATTTGCCAGAAATCGAGGATGCCTCTGGGATACTGCATAGTGCACTGTGCACTCTTCCGTACTTTCCGTGGGTTTACAAAAACTTCAGGGCGTGTTTTTGTCCGATTATCTGACGTACATAACCGTTTAAGTACAGACTTTTTTTATTGTATCGCCTATACATAATATAGAAAATTTCATCCCACATCATCTCAGAACACCCTGGTCTACGTACATCCAGTTCTTTACAGACGGATTATCATGTCAACGCATGGAAAAGTGCAATTTTATCAACCTATGTCATCATCAAGAAGACTACGTCATCGCCGGCGGCGCCACGAAGACTGCGCCGCCGCGGGTGGAAAAACTTCTTGACCACCTCACGTGGTAAAGACTCCCGCGATGGCAAAGAGAGCACGGCGAAGCAGGCAACGGGACACGCCTGCCTGACTAGACGGACGTCTGGGCGTCTGAGCAACTAGACGGACGTCTGGGCGTCTGAGCAACTAGACGGACGTCCGGGCGTTTGAGCAACTGACGCGCGTAAGGAGAGGTGAGATGAAGCTGAGACCACCAAAGCCCTGCAGCTGCCCTGTCGCCAGGGGGAGGACCACGCCAAATATTTGACCAGCCAGTTGCGCCAGATGCCAGCCAGATGCGCCAGTGCGGCCAGATGCGCGTAAGGAGAGGCGAGATGAAGCTGAGGCCACCCAAGGCACTAAAAGGTACTATAAGTTCACCCCTTTGGACGACTGCACCGACAGGTGTGTCGCACGTCAGAGGACAAAGAGCGTCATTCAGTGTAGCAAGGAGGTAAGAACAATACAGGGGACGGGCAAGAGCGAATTCATTTGTCTTAATATTTTTTTTTTGCACGTGTACGTAGGACTTTGCACGTTTTGTGGCATTGGAGCTTGCGTGTCATGAATGCAGCTCTGATTTTTTGTTTCTTAGTTTGATTTGCTATTTGTCTGTTTGGCTCCATACGTTTTTCAAGGAATGAATTTAGAACGTCCAGAAACAGTGTGCGCATTATTTTTGGCAAGATGTCGTGGATATGGCGAGGATTTAAACGTTGCACATACACCCACGCTACAGAAGGTTAGCGCAAATTTTTCATGGGATGAATGGCCCGTCTCTTCATTGGACATTGCACCATCTGTTCCATCTAATGCATTCTTGCTCTTACTGTCGATTTAGTTTGTCACTGAAGCAGACTAAAGGGCACAAATTATGAAATTGGCCAATTTTAGCTCAAACACCGCCTATTGCCATGCTCCATTTGAGGTCCAAGGAGATAAAAACACGCGTTTCTTGCGTTCTTCGATAAAAGGACCCTATGAGTCTTGAATATGTAAAATTTGTTTTCGGAGCCATTGAAGGTCATTGTGTAACCTTTAACTGAAGGTCTGAGAGACATCCCTTTTAACCGTGACCTAAGGTCACAAAAGCTCTGGACTGGTATTTACCGTTTTATGTGGAGTTAGAAATATATACTTTGGCGGGATTACTCTTTTAATAGCAAAGCCAAACCCACCAAACCCACCGAACACAACACATGTCACGCACGACCTCAAGCTTACTTCAGGGTACAATTTTTTACCCTTGACCTGAGCGAATTGAGAAAAATAATCGAATTTGGCTTCAGCCCTGCAGACAATTACGCAGGGGAATTTTGATCAAAATTCCGGAATGAGGGCGTTCAAATCTGGTCACGTCGGGTCGATCTCACAGCGAATTGCCTGGACTACACATTCATGCGTATACAGGACGGGCCACACAATACTGAGTAGGACCCAGGACAGTACGTGATTAAGGCTAAGGCTTAAACGGCCAGCAAGGCGGAATCTAAGTACAACATCTGGATCTTCACCTTTGCTGGCCATCCTGGACAGCACCGGGACGCGGGGCGCACACCCAGGTGGACTGCTGTGCTGCTGAGCGGCGCGCGCGTTCTCGTTTTAGCGCGCGCGGTCCGCCGCGTCACCGGCCGGGCTGAGCAAGAGCCACACTCCGGTGAACGCCTCCCTGTAGCCGACCCTCCGCAGGGTGCCCATGCTGGCCGCGTTGTCCTTGGTGGTGGCGGCGCAAGGGTGCAGACCGAGCTCGACGCAGGCTCGGCTGAGCGTCGCCATGACGGCCGTGCCGTAGCCGCGTCTACGCCACGCCTCCTCCGTGTGCAGTACGCCGATCGAGCCGCTCGCATTGAGCAACGCCCAGGCGCGCAGGCAGCTGGGCGGCGGCGGCGCGGCTCCGGTCTCCGGAAGCGCGAACACGCCCGCCGTCAGGCCGGCGGCCAGCGAGCCGGCGAAGAAGCTGGCCGGGTCGACCATGCCGGCCGCCGGCTCCCAATGCTGCAACACTTTAGCCAGGTGCGTCTCGTGCAGCGGCTGGATCACTACTCCCGGCAGGCTGAGGAGCACATAGGTGAAGATGATCGGCTGGATAAAAGCTGCCAGCGACCTGACATCACATGCCTAGCCTCCAGCGGACAGGCAGCCACGCCCGTCAGGCTGGGTAACGCATGGGTCATCGGCTGGATCAATGCTGTCAGACTGGGTAACGCATGGGTCATCGGCTGAATCAATCCTGTCGGCAGCCTGGAAAACACATGTTAAGCTTTCAGCGGACGTATCACCAGGCCCGTCAGGTCGAGGAACGCCTGGGTAACAGCCAGTGACTGGATCACTGCCGCCAGCATCCTGGTAAGCACATGCTTGACGTTCTGCAGATAACCGTCGCCCCCACCAGGCTGAGGACAGCTTGAGTCACTGTCGGTGGCCAGACAGCCCCCCGGCCGCACCAGTCAACATATGGGCGACGTTCAGCGGCTGGTCATCGTTCTGTCAGGCTGAGAGGTCACGCTTAACACGCGTCCCAACGGTGAGCCAAAATCTTGCTTGGCCGGCGGGGGTGGGGGTGCGGTTGGGGGCTCGAGAGCCCTCGTCATGATTTAGAATATCATGAGTCATGGGAGGACAAAGTAGCGCCATTCGAGACTCAGCGTCGAGTAGAGCTTGAATATTTGGATTCATATCTCCTATAAAAAATGAGATCACTTGGGGATGTAATCGGTAGAATAATGTAATCTACTCTTATTTAACTGAACGGTAACCAATACAGTACAAAAAACACATGATGCATTGTTTCACTCACAAGTGAAGCTATACAAGGTCATATAAATAGGCATTAACCCGCGTCCGGTCAGGGGTCTGAGACAACCGTACCCGGCCAGGGGAAGGGAAGTTGACTTTCCCTTAAAATCTCCAACTCCAAGACGCCGTGTGAGAAAAGCAAAGATACCGTTGTGAAGGTCTCGTCAAATCATGAAAAAATGATTTGGGTAGGTTGACCTGTTTGACTTGACTTAGCTCACTGAAATGAGTCAATCAAGACTAAACTCTACTCACACGATGTCACATTGATAGATAAACAGGTACTCAAAGTTTTTGCTGCCGCGATCATTCGTTTTTGATCTGTGCTTGAAAAAATAAAACGTAAGAGAAGCCAACTTATCCTTCCCTTACCGGACACGGGTTAAATGTGCCTACAAATGTAAGGCACTGGGATAATTTGATTTTGATTGCGGCTTTTGTGCATGCCCAAATCCTCACGTTGTTTTAAGCGGACTGTTGGACTTCATATAAGACTCGCATTGCACGACGAGCAAACCCGCTTGGATATCAATTTGGACATCCTTGGGTATGCATTACCCCCCATACTTTTTGCATGGCGTCATCTGCTTTTGATGGCCATTCGACGCACTGGAGAAAAAAGTGTATGTGAACAGAGCAAAACTTTCAGTGGCTGGACGATGAACTTCGTCAGGCTGAAGACCAAGGGAGCAATATTCCGTGGGTGGGCGAGCTCCCTCGGGCACGCTGTGCTGCTCACGTTTAACGTCACGGGCTGAAATTTTACATCGTTCATGGCTTCTGCCGAGCATCAGATCATTTGGAGAAGTGAGAACATAATGCCAGAGCTACACACGATTGCCGTACAGTTCCCGGGCTCACACACAACACTCGCGCACGCACCCACGCACGCACGCACGCACACACGCACACGCGCACCCACGCACACACGCGCCCACGCACCCACGCACCCACGCACGCACGCACGCTCACACACACACACACACACACACACACACACACACACACACACACACACACACACACACACACACACACACACACACGTGCACGCACACGCGCACACGCATACACACATTTGCGTGGGCCTTTGAGAACGGAGAGAACAACGGCGATCACTGTTTGGGAGAACTCACGCCTTGGGAGCGGCGGGCGCCTCGTCCGTTGCGAAGACACAGCGCTCCACCGGCGTGTCGGCTGTAAACCTCATGTCGCTAGCTACAGAAAGCAATGTGGGCAGCATGTACTGCGGCAGACCGGGCAGGTCTAAGGACCGTTTCCAGAGGCGTTGTGAGACCTCTGGAGACCTCAGGAAAGCCTCCAGTCGCGTCAAATTGTCTTCGGTGGTGAATAGCTGGAGGATGCTTTTGCTTGCGCCGCGGTCCTGAAAATGTGTGGACGGATGCTCCAGTTAGTCATGTGACTCAAGTTGTTAGGATAGATTCGTTAACTTGGCGACGGTCAGTTTTTCATTATGCGAGGCTTCTGCTTTCTTGCCACCTAACGTGGGTACACGTTCACGTTCCTGAAATATCAAAAAATAATCCGCAACTTCCTGCTTCACTGTGCGAAAATTGATAAACACCGAAATACATCGTTCATGATGGACTGGTAGCTTTGTGAATGGGTAGATCTCAGTTATGCTTAGCTATTGTCGTCATAGACGTGAGAACGTTTCAGAAAGTGGGGGGAGCCAAGCTCAGGGCTTCAGGACCTTTTTCTGGAAAGCAAGCACGATGACCGGGGAGGAGGAGGGGTAGAGGTGGAGGTTGTTGTCGCTCTGTATTCAAATGGAATGGCTGCTGCGCTAGATATATATCTAGCACTGTTTCTCACTGGCGCACAATCTTGTTTATTCGACTCATTTATGTCATTCGGCAAATAGCACTATCAAGCTTCCCAGGATTATTCGTCCATTTCAACATTGTCTTTACTGGGGAGGTGAAATCCCACGAGCGGGTAGGCATTTTGGGTCATTGCGGAGGCATCTGCCTCCACATGGTAGATGCCAAAATATAGCCTGGACATAGGATGGTGAGAGTTTTGAAAGTGAGTCGATACCTCACAGTACGACAGATTTTTATGTGCCAACATTTGGCTGGCTGCTTTTTAAAAGATAGGACCTTGTCGCAGCATTTAAGGCGGAAACAAATTCAGAAGCTTGAAATTTTCAAAACGATGTGATAAAAGACATAAAACTAGAGATTCTCCTTTAAAAAGCAAGCCACAGAATGAAGGCCCTTCTGTCATATATTCCTTATATGGGCCCTGCTCCCGTCCGCCGTCGGCGGCCACTACCCTGGCCCGGCTGCCTCCCGCATGACTGACTGCGAACTGATCATATGGCTACTTTGTTGCATATTTCAGGATCAGCCATACTACTAATTGGTGTGTAAAACGTGTGTTAGACACCTGCAATAGCATCTTGTCCGAATGATCTTCCTTTACACCACACCGCCGCAGAAAAAAAAAACTACGGAAAGCTGCCTGTGTTGGGCATGAATTGCTCCAACGGACATTTGATCGCCCCCCATTCAACGTAGCCGACCTGATCTCCTTTTGTGTGCAGGCAGGGGCATAGCCAGAGCCTTGCCAAGGGGAAACACGGGGTTGACAAAAGCTCCCCTCATGGTGACCGAAAAAACGGATATGGCTTACTTGTTAACAAGGGATCTGGTTTTCTTTCATGTATTTTTTTAAAACTTGCAACCAGCACGGAACTAGAAGCTACCGTGAGATCAATTCTGTTTGCATTTTTAAGTCAATAAACTGCAGACATCAGGCGTTGAACGACCGCATGAAATAAATCAGAGGCGCTCTTGATTTGACAGTTTAGTGACCTCCTTCTAAACCGATTAAATACAGAAGTTTTGTCATAATTTTTTATCTGGGTTCTTCAGACATTGAGGGCATCACAAGAAGTGGAGGGGTCATGGCCCCCTTGCTCCCCCCCCCCCCCTGTTCCTACACCCACGATTGTCGTCACGATTTTAAGGGGCCAGAAGTTGTATGCTACCGGTATCATTTTCTCATTTTTGTTCCCTTTTCTTGCCAGTTGGATATAGCTGCATTCGCCTGGAACAGCAACGTTCTGGTCAGTGATTTTCTACATCACCGAGTGTTCCGTACATAGAACATCGAGCATGGGATTAGGCGTTCGAATTGTACCAGGCTGTACAATACCAATTTTCCAAACTGTATAAAAGTACCGGATTATGCAATTTAATGTACCAGTATTGTCCCGCTGTCTATGCGGCATCTGGTCGAAATCCCAAGGCGATCACAGCAAAATAATCAGGAAACCCGGCTAGAGTAATGTGCTGACGGGAACTGACACCGCACCGGCTCCCAGCAGATCGTTCGTCTCTTTCTTGTTGGAGATCTGCTGCGAAGTTATTTCAAGACTACGGCACATTGGCGTCACTTTATATACTTTCGGGGCAGGGCTGAGCTCCCCCCCCCCAAAAAAAAATAGGTAAGTGCAAAAAAGACTGGACCAAGGAAATACGGGGAACTTCTCTGCAAGGAAAAATGTCCCTGGCACGCTAGGTATCTGAAGATGTCACTATTAGTTGCAGGTTCTTGTTGTATCACGTAGCGTCCTGTAGGTACGTAAAATATCTCTGTCATACCAGTTTCTTCATGTGTTCCGGCAGCCTGAAAATTTTCGCAGGTTTTTCACGAGACCACATCTGGATCGAGACCAAAATGGCACTGTAACATGCCTAACCGTTTATGTTTGAAGGAGCTGGTTTTAACCGGAGCGCTCCACAGTTTAACAATTTTTAGATTTGGTCGGTAAAAACAATGTGCTCAAAATTCATCTGAATTACTCAAAAGTAGCTGCTACGACGGGAGAAATCTCATTGGACACACTCATCACACTATGACATGAATAAATTCCATCTGTTTCACATTTTCCAGCATGTGTGTTATGCAATGATTCCCGAGCACCACATGGCCAAGAGGTGTGTGCAATAAGCGACCAAAAATGGAAAAACAGCTTGAAATCCTGTATTTAGGGAAAGAATGTATTTCAATATGAGGCGATTATCACGTCTGCAACGAAACGTCGCGATGGAGCCTTGATTTCTACCCGTAGGCCGAGTGGTTGGTGCGCCATACTCACAAATGGGAAGCCCGGTCTCGAATTCCTGTCGCGCCGTGGTCCCTGAGCGTTCATATGACCAGTACAGTTAATATGGCCAATACAGTCAATACAGTTAATATGGCTAATACTCCACAGATGGCGCGTGACGACGTGCGCCGCGTTCTCCTTTAAAAAAAAGAGATCTTTCTATTTTGCATGTTTGTATGGATCTCTAGCTATTAACATTTAGCCGCGTAAATATTAATGCACGCTATAAATTTCGAATGGGGAACGTGTTGCACAACCGCCAGCCCCACTCGGTGTTTCAGGTATCCGCCCACACGGAAAAGAAGCGATATTTTAACACGGCTGCGTTCTCAGGACTGAGAATAAAAAAAGTGCATGCATCGCTCTCCATATTTGTGGTATAAGGACTGCTTTCTTCGTTGTCATCGATGTGTACCAAATTGTAATGCAGCATGCAGTGTGACGTCGGCCATTGCCTGTTTTGCAAGTGCAGTTTGATGATGAACCTTCCTCCTGGTTCTACCGCAACAGGGCGTCAAGAAATGCAGCGTACATACCACATGCCATACACATTTTTTGGCGTGCTCCAGGGCTTCTCTTCACTTGTATTGACTTCATGCTCATATCACAGCGCTGGTCGCGCTCTTTATCAAGGTGACCAATCCGGTGACACGTCCAGTCATCATCCTGTTGTCTTCTCCGTTATCGACATATCAGTGGAGGTCATGGTTTTAATTTTAGGTTTGGAGAATTCCTGACATTGCGCATGACACATCTTTCCTAGCCTCTCCACAGAACAGAAAAGGCATCATGTGTACTCTTCTCTAGTCTTCTCTAGTGTATCAGGCCACGCCATTTTCCATAGAACCGCCTCGGACCACCTCCCATAAACGATAAATGAGACCTATTTCCGGTGAACATATCGGACCGTCTTAGTAAGATGTTTTCTGTGAATTATTCTCAATTCTAAGCCTCTCACAAGACTACACGTTCACATTGATAGAGTATGGTAGCGTTATTTGGAGCGGTGCTGCTGTTCCCATCTCGTCCGGTTCGGACGACCACAACGCCGGTTTCTCAAGTGCACACGTCCCGCCCTTGGTCTACCCCCACACCTCGCGGCAATCACGTGCAGACTCGTTAACAATGAAAAATATATGAGAGCCATTGAAAGGTAAAATCAGTTTTGATTCAGGCCGGTCGCATAGCACGGACTTTGCCCCGGAGGGAGGTGGTCAAATCGGGCCACTGGGGGCCGTTCAGCAGCACGGCCCCTTCTTCGTTGCTCCTTCAGTCGTGTTTAATCGGGGTGCCTTTCAGCATTGGGTGCCTACTTTACTGCCTCAAGGGCCTCTTTTATATCTAGCAAACCCTTCGGAACATCCTGTGGGCGTCTTAAACTGCCACAAAAATGCCAAGCTTTCCGCCCTCAAATGGCTTAAGCCACCCCCAGCGGGCACTTTTATTTTATAAGCCTCGAGAGCCTCCTTTATGTCTAGCAAACCCCTCGAAACATCCTGTGGGCGTCTTAAACTGCCACAAAAATTCCGAGCTCTCCGCCCTCAAATAGCTTAAGCCACCTCCAGCGGGCATGGCCCCAGTAGCTCCCCTTGGGTACGCCACTGACTCAGGCCAAGGTCAGCCAACGAAACGTTTCCTGAAGACCTGATTTTGTTTTTGGATGATATCACGGAGGGACGGACTGATATATGCGTTTAGAGCGGGATGATTTCGTAACCCGAGTCTGGCAAAGTAACCCTTTCATTTCTCTCGAACCAATGTCCAACATATTTGGAACAACATCCGCATTCGCCTCCACATCACCACCCTAGCGCCGGCCGCAGTCGCCTCCCCGTGATCTCTTTTATCCAGCCATGCAGCGCCGCAGCAAGTCGTTCCCATGGCAACCCGCTGCGGGCGGCTGGCGTGTGACGTAGCAGTCAAGCGTGTGATGTAAGCAATCGCGGCGGCACGCCGGGTGGTTGTCGGCGCGCCAACGGCCACTGCCGTCTCGAGAAAAGTCGCCTGTGTTAACTGGGCGCTACATCGGCGGAGCGATGCATCATAAACAGATGCGCAAAACGCGATGGCCTCCTACAATGGCATGATGACACTGATGGCTCGAGGAGTACTTCTACATCACTGCTTTATCGATGGCAGGGATATGCCTCCCAAAATCATTTCAGTAGCTTATTGCGCGGGAAATTCTGGCACGTTTCAAATTCATTCGGCATCCTCCTTTTTGTTGAGTTCGCCTATATACAATAATTCTGCTGCTTTGGTCCCAACACGTGCCCGCTGAGAGGTGAATGCCACATTGCGGTACTTGCGTTGAGGAGGTGTTTTGGCAGATGATACGCAAAGTTCGACATGTCGTGAGTTCAGGAGTTGTTGGGTATCAGAAACGCCAATTGGTTGCACTTGATTATTCCGCGTAAGTTCTACGATTGTTCTGCGAATAGGACACTTGTTGGCAGGCCTAGACCCGGTTCCTTTCATCTCCATACGGCAAGGCATTTGCTGCAAAAATTGGCGTCTTCTCATGTAGCTCTAGAAGCTCCGGTAATTTCTCAGACGACTTTTTCGAAAGCGGGTGCGCTGCGGTCCATGCGAATGTCTATTTTTCGGGGGAACTATAGATCCCTTCACATTTTAAAGGTGAAGTTTATTGGTTTTCCCGCATAGGAGGAGTCCACGGCTTCATGAATCCTGTGAAAATGTTTACAGTTAGTACCGTAGGCTACCTAACCGTCGTTCCTTTTCGCAGCATCCCCACCAGAAAACGCTCAACCTGGTGGTTGGACATATCATCAAACACATTGAATGTTTAAGTCGGAATAGTCTGCATCTAAAAAACTGCATGAGTTCTGCAGAGTGCTGTCTGACTTAATGCATCATTTCAACGCAATAAGGATCATGCAGCTCACAGCATCACTCACGAAATCTCTTTCGAATATCTTTCACGCCTATTTGGGGATTTTCATCAATAAGCCTACTGAGTGGTTGCCCTGCAGTGTTAATGCAGGTGCCGGTTGCCAACATTCCCATGCTCTCACTGTTTATTGTGCAAGAGATGTTGTCCATATCCTGGCCTATTCGTAAAGTTTTAAAGAACCATCTGCATTAAGAATTCTAAGAAGCTTTGTCAGTCCTTGAACCATAATTCTCTGCACAATTGCCTGCGTGGTTTGCAATAAGCTGTCTTGCATAGGTCTTCGTGTAGGCGTGGTCATGTTCGTCAATGAGAAGCAACACACGAAAAAATCACCTCATATTCACCAAAGTAAGGTGCCATCGCATAACATGGGATCTGCACATCCTCTGGAAATTATAAGGTAAACTTTTTAAAAGAAGTCATCTTTCATCGCGTGATTTTGCATTTTTAACTCCATCTTGTTTGTGAGCCAAGATGCGTTCAGTCGTGTTAGCTATGGCCATTGCGGCGTCTAGCGATACCAGTTTCAATGCAACGTCTGATGTACTTTTATTGCATTGTACTCGTGTAGCATTTTGTCCTGATGATAATGCACAACGTATCAAAACGTTGACGTTTTACATAGTGACTGCCGTTCTTAACATCAACTATTTCTGCCTTTTGCTATCCTCTCTCTCTCCCTCTCTCTCTTCTCTCCTCTCTCTCATCTCTCTCTCCTCTCTCCTCTCTCTCTCTCTCTCTCTCTCTCTCTCTCTCTCTCTCTCTCTCTCTCTCTCTCTCTCTCCTCTCTCCTCTCTTCTCTCTCTCTCTCTCTCTCTCTCTCTCTCTCTCTCTCTCTCTCTCTCTCCTCCTCTCTCTCTCTCTCTCTCTCTCTCTCTCTCTCTCTCTCTCTCTCCCTCTCTCTCTCTTTTGTTCCAAAGCATTGCATTTAGACACGACAAAACATTACACTGAAAAACGTACGATGATCATACATTGCAAAAACTGAAAAGGACAAAACGCCCGCAAGATACGGATTTCCGACGGACGAACTTAACACCATATCATTTGAGAAGACTGTCAGCATTTGTTGAATGTACACATATTCTGGGAAACTTCTGCATAGCGCTGATAGCATAAACTGAGAGGCGATAGGGTCAGACCTGCACCTTAGCAACGAATCTAAACATGTTTTGTGCGAGGAGCCTTTGACCTACTGAGATGTGCAAGAAAAAAAGTGATGGGTCTTACTGACTTGGTTAAACAAAGGACGCTGGTAAAGCACGATTATGTTGGAAATCAGCCAAATAAATAACTAAAGATAGATATATGTTGTCAACAGCTTGGGCAGTCTACCAAGCTGTCACTCCTGGAAATGGAAAGGGCTCATTTCGATCGGTAATTTACCTGTATGAAGAGAGTGATGGGATTTCTATCATCAGCTGCAGTATCAGTGAAGATAACACAAGGCCATTGATTTAGCTTGAGCTTTTGAAGTTGTACGAGAAACCGGATCTGGAAAAACATCACAAGACAAAGCCGGTCAATAAAAATTAGGAAAGCAAGCAGATCACTTCTCATCACAATCGCCATCTCCGTGCAGAACGAAAGAGGAACGCCTAAATGCACACAAGTCAGGTTTTTATAAATGGGATCACAGCCCTTTAAATGGATGGATTTCTGGGATCAGCACTCACGCTAAGCAGTGCTTGTTGTGTGAGCCCTGACTCCCACCATCCGATCGCGCAACTCCAAGCAACGGCAGAATTTAGTGGCGAAAGCTTAACGTGCCGCAATGCTCGGCACGGTCCGTCCTGCCCTCTGACGTGAACTGACCGCAACCGCAGCTACCGGCCGCAGGTCAAATACCGAGCGTCCTAAAGCGACTCGAACCCACCCCGCCACGGGTGGGTGGATCGGAAGGCAGGTGGTCTAACCAACTGAGCCACCGGGACGGACACGCACTCATGGTTACACATGTACTTGCGCCCTTACGTGTTATCCCAAAAGTGTCGGCACGCCTCTGAACTGTTTATAATGGTCGCACCTGGCTGGCTTTCCAGAGGCCTAATAATTGTCTCTATGGATGATCAATTGCCAGAAAATCACTATCCCAGATGTGGTTTTGTCAAATGATACAGTATTTGAAAATCAGGGCTAAAAGAGGGAAAGAAATGCCCATGAAGAGCACCCGAATGTCCGCATTCAAAATAGGATAACCATTGGTGGGGGATGGTAGCTTATCCTCCAAGCCTGCCGTGACGTGCTTCTTCCTATGCCAAAACAATATCATCTGGCTGACTTTCGTAAAACTGGTGTAGTCCATGCCGGACCAATCATACCGTATCACCTGTACCTGACTACCTCAACACGTCACTGCTGTGTCAGCAGTGTGTCAGGCGGCCGTTGCATGTGATGGACCCAGTCAAGATCCTTGATGCCCTGCGATGCCGCCGCAGTAGAACCGCTTCCACCGTCATCGGGACAGTCGGTGAACCGGCATTCTCCAAGAAAACGTCACTTGTTTTTCAGGTATCAAAATCAAACGGCTCTGATCAAACGATTCCCTTCAAAGCTGGACAATCGTTATTTGAAGGGCGTTTTTCGGAAAAGTTACTGTTTTTTATGATAAATCCACTCATATGCTTTCCTTTATCAGAAATATTGGCGGCGGTCCCGAAGACATGTTGTTGCACCGCCAGCACTGTTGAGATAAAGGTGTTGCACATCTTCTCAAGGAAGTGTGGGTCGTATATACACGTGCCAGTTGATGACGACGTAAATTCAACCAAACCGTGTTTCCTTATCCTTTATCGCGCGATGTTGATAATGTCACTGGAAAACTTAACGATCAAAAATTTATTGATTGGAAATGTACCATGCTCTCCAAGTTGCTGCGTTTTCAAAAGTGATACACGTTTAGGGAGGTTAAGATTTACGGATCCACGCTAGCGAATGGTTAGTCACGGGCAACACAACCTGTGCATACATGACATCTGTCCAAAAATTTTGATTGACGTCACGCGTAAGCAAAATACATGGGTCGCGTATCCAGGGGTCAGCTGACGATGACGTCAGTTCCAAGCAAACTGTGCTTCTTTATCCTTTATTGCGCAACGTTGATAACATCACTGGGATTTCAAACAAACGAACACCGATTAATTGGATATGCACCATAATTCCCAAGTTGTTGCGTTTTCAAAAGTGATACTTGTTGGTGAAGGTTGAGATTCACGGAGTCATGCCAACTAATAGCTCTTCACGGACAACACAACCTGTGCATACATATCTGTCAAAAGCTTTGGTTGACATCACAGACAAGCAACATACACGCCAAATGCTAAAATCAAACGTTTAGAGAGGTGCGACTCACTCACGTGAGCTTATTTCCAAGCTGAAGGGAAGGTCAGATCGGACCGTGTCGAAATAGAACGCCAGGGGCTGAATACTTTTAGAACGGATCAAACTGTGGCTGCATAGGATAAGTGAGGCTGACACTATACTAAAATGCCAATTTCTGGAGCCTTTGAGCTGATTGAGATCTCCCGAGTCCATGAGGGTCTCCATGCCGGTCAGACATCGGCAAACGGAATAGTTCTCACCGTGTCGGTCTTGGCCTGAGGGCCCATTTCCCAAGCAGGGACACGCCTGGGGCCCGTGATCTACATTGTTTGATGCCTCAGAGCCAATGAACGATCTCCTGTGTCGGCTGGGGTACCGCAGTGCCTCAGAGGAGTCCTGTGTTGGCCAGGGACAGTGTTCGAGGGAGCCCGAACAGGGGACCGATGGACATTTTGGGACCGACGACCCAGGGCCGGTTGGAAGGCTGAAGGGCTCGACGGGATCATGGGGCTTAATATGGGTCGCACTTAAGATTCGATCCGTGGGACCGTGACCTCAGATGTCACTCAGAGGGCCTGTTGCACTGATTGAGAACCCATGGAATATTGCGGACCTCTATCGCCACTAGAGACCACCAACACCACACGATAGTCTCCGAGCTCGGTTGAACCCTGTGGGCCCAATTTTCCGAATCCGGAACAATACCGGGGCTCGCGGTCTGCATTGGTTGCGGCTTCCGAAACAACGCTGGGCCGCTTGTCGGTCATGGCTCACAGCGACCAACTGGGAACCATGCGTCGGCTAGTACCCCCGAGTCGACTTAGGGCCGTATTCCAGGGAGCCCAAGGAGGTGGTGGCAAAGGGGGGTCTGAAGGGCCCTCGGAACTGAGGATTAAAAGCACAATTGTAATCCCGAGGGGCCCGAAGGACCAGCTATAGTTCGCGTTAAGGACACGTGACCGTAGGGTCGTGACCCCAAATGTCAGTCAGAGGGCCTCTTACAGCGATAGGAGACCACCGGGATAATGCAGGCTCCCCATTTCGGCCAGAGGCAAACTACACCGCGCAGTCTGCTCCGCATCGGTCCGGGCCCTGGGGTCAATTTCCCACGCAGGGACGAGGCAGGGGCCCGTGATTTGCATTGGTTGGAGCCCTTGTGTCAGTCAGGGGTCTACATTGCCAAGCAGGGGATCCTGTGTCCGTAAGGGGTCCGGAGACGGTCAGGGAAGCATTTACTGAAAAGGGAGAGGGACGGCACCACGAATACCGAGGGACTACTTTGTTGGTGGCCGAGGCCCTCTGACAATGAAAGGCGGTATGAGAGCCTGTGATGAGAGCCGATCATGAGACAGTGGAAGGGCCCTATGTTCATTGGGGCCTCCAGTACGGGAAGGGACCCTCATCCAATTTCAGGTAAGGGCACGTTAGGCGAAATCAGAGTATCTCGGCAGCAATACTTGGACCGCCCATGTGAAATGCCCCCAAATTATATTTTCCCCGACACAGTCCGGTCTCATTCTGTTGAAGCCTTTCCATTCCATTCTAGGCCATTGAACATTCCAATAAGTGCAGCCACTTTGGAGCTCGCAGGCCCGCAAGCCGCGGGCTTAAAAAGCCCGCACGGCTACCACTAGCAGTTCATTTTTCTATAGACCAAACGCTATTTGCAAATTGTCTAACGGTTTGATGCAATGATTCCCCGTGATATGCGCACTCTGATGCTGTATTTATCCAGGAAGAACGCCGCAGAAAAACACCGATCACCAATCCATCCCGACGATCCCAGCAGGGTCTCAAACTCATCCAAGGACTAAATCAGCACAAAACGCTGGTCGTCGGTTGGTAAAGAAGCTCAAATGCGCCTGAAGGCATTTACGTGGCGTGAGTCTGCTGACAGACGATCTTGTCTTTGCTGGTCACATTTCAGCGTCAGCTTTCCAGAAGCGAGACACAGAACTGAGGTCATTTATGCGCACTTATCTGTCATCACATGCTTTGCTTACCTTCTGTTACTTGCCATGTGGCCTGACGATTCCAATGGAAGTCGGCATATGACATTATGTGTTTACCGGTAATAAAGTCATTTTGAACATAAATCCAGCATTAAAATAGCATCATTGCAGATAATCTCTAAGCCTCTGTACTGGACGCAGGTAACCAAAGTCAGCTATCATTCAGATATTCATTGCTGGATATGGAACTGGAAATGGTGTCGTTGTGGCCCCTCTTGGCCATGCACAGTCTGTCGGATATTCTTCCCTTGAAATGTCTTAATGTGTGATGAATTGCTTAACATCGTTTTATTCCTTGCCTTTCAACAGAAAAATTCCTGAGTCTTTTGAAACGCCTTACAAGGAACCAAGATTGTTTTGCCTCAAACAAAGAAGATTTATCCTGGGACCAAAGTATTTGGATGTGTTGGCTTTTCATCAGTTTCCTCAAACCGAATCATAGTTTCCGATCTCAAAATGAGTTCTAGTAAATATTTTTGCTCCAACAGTGTCATTCACCATGACACCACCAGCTTCATATATGCTGGACGATGCCTCGACCGGTACGAGATCAGTGTAGTGCGCTACTACCTCCAAAGAGCCTTTGGGCTCTGCCCTGACTGGACTCAACTGCTCAATAAACTGCGGCGCCTCAAGCAAGTCTTAATATATATATATATATATATATATATATATATATATATATATATATATATATATATATGTATATGTACATATGTAAATGCGTGCGTGCGTGCGTGTGTGTGTGTGTGTGTGTGTGTGTGTGTGTGTGTGTGTGTGTGTGTGTGTGTGTGTGTGTGTGTGTGTGTGTGTGTGTGTGTGTGTGTGTGTGTGTGTGTGTGTGTGTGTGTGTGTGTGTGTGTGTGTGTGTGTGTGTGTGTGTGTGTGTGTGTGTGTGTGTGTGTGTGTGTGTGTGTGTGTGTGTGTGTGTGTGCGTGTGTGTGTAAATATATACTTTTATGCGAAAAAGACTGCAGTAGACACACAGCAGACGATTTCCCTGTTAAGTGATATGCTCCTCAACTAGTCATTGATTACGTCATCAAAGAAAAGATTGAGACTCATTTGACGGCCGTTATATTTGGGAATCGTGCTCACGAGCGTCCTTTGAACGACTGGACAATTATATATTTTTAACTTTGATCGCCGCATGACCAATGG